TGTTGTTTTGCTTCATGAGCACCCTCTTTTTGCTCGGGTTCAGTAGTAGGTTCTTTCTCTGTTGCGATTTTTTCTTTTTTCTTTTCATTCTTCTTCTCTTTTTCTTCATCGATACCCTCTGTTGGTTTGGGTACATCAACAGCAGTTTCTGTCTTGTTCCTTGTATCTTCTTTGGCTTTTGTTATTGGTTAGCATTCAAAATCTGGCTTATGTGCTTGTTTTCTTAACTTTTGTTTGATTCTCTTGACCATTGATCTTTGTTGGAGACTTCTAGTTTTTTTGGCGGACATTTCCTTCAACCGGTCTTCATTTCTATGCAATTTAGCCATGAATTTTTGTTCCATTTCTTGTATTTGTGCTCTTATGGCTGCTATGAGTTTGTCCTTGTCGTCCTCTTTGGTTGATATTTGTGCTTGGTCATCACCTATAAAAATGTTGGATTTTGTTTTGGTTAGTTTAATTAAATTTTGCAATTTGGTTTAGTATTAGATAAGAGTTTACCTTGTGTATAAAATGTGTCAGATTTCTCTTGAAGTTCTTCTTGTTGTTCTGTCCTTTTTTTTTCCTTGTTGTTTTGCTTGTTCTTTTTTTTTTTCATGTTGTTGTTGTTGGTCTGTCAGTTCTTGTTCATTGACTTCTTGTTGTTGGTTTGTTTGTTATTCTTCTTGTTCTTGTTGTTGGCCTTCTTCTTCATCAGTGTCTTCTTGTTGATCACCTGCTTTTTCTTCTTGTTCTTCTTCTTCATCATTGTCTTGTTGTTCATCAGCTTCTTCTTCTTCAGTCACTTGTTTTTTTTCATCATCACTCTCTTCTTCTTGTTCATCACTTTTTGATTCTTCTTGTGGTTCTTGCTTTCTTTTCTTTCTTTTTTATTGTTCTTCTTGTTCTGATTCTGATTCTGATTGGTGTTCTTCTTCGAGAAAGTCATCCTCATCACTATCTAGAAGTCTTTTTTTTGTGTTGATTTTGCCTTTGTTTGTTTTTTTTTTTTGGTTGAAATAATAAGAATAATAATAATATATAAAATAAAGTGTTGTGCCACGTCTTGGGCAGATCAAATACTTTGGAAAAAAAGTTGAAAGAAAAGTTGAAAAGATGAGAGGAGAATGGGACAAGCCCATGTGATTATAATAAAAAATAATGAGAATGAGAAGAAATGGGTTGGTACAGTGCAAGTGTGTTAGTAATATATTAAAATAAAATAAAAGAAATCCAGTGGGGGTTTCGGAACCTGTGGGCTAGGATAGTGATGTGAATATATTAAAATGGGTTTGTGCGTGTAAAGACCGAAGCACAACTCAACTTGCTTAACAATGGCCCCGTCCGGATCTTTAACTCTGAGGAGAAGTGCGAGGGCGTTGGTTCATCTGAAGAGGAGGATCAAGACAACAGTGGTGGAGAAACAGAACTGCCAGAGATTGATCCACGCGCTGAAGATCGGGAACTGAAGAACCACCTGTTGAGGAAGTATAGTGGTTACTTGAGTAGTCTCAAGCAAGAGCTTTCCAAGAAAAAGAAGAAAGGGAAACTACCCAAAGAAGCTCGGCCAAAGCTACTCAATTGGTGGGAGTTGCACTACAAATGGCCTTATCCTTCGGAGACCGAGAAGGTGGCCTTGGCAGAATCAACTGGTTTGGACCAAAAAACAAATTAATAACTGGTTCATCAACCAGAGGAAACGACACTGGAAACCGTCTGAAGATATGCAATTCATGGTAATGGATGGAATTCATCCACAGAACGCAGCTTTCTATATGGAAGGACACTATATGGGCGAAGGTCCTTACCGATTGGGGCCATGACCATGAGAAATAATCAAAATGGGTAGCTGAATCACAAAAGAAAGAGGAAAACAAAGATGCATCTGCTGCTGCCAGGCTACTTGAGAAACTGAGTGTTGAAGATGAGAGAGCAGCAGAAGACAAAGCCAGTGAAGAGGTGTCTGTCATGGTCTGAGAGAGCCGAGAGGTAAGAGAGAGGAAGATGAAGTTACAGTCTGGGTATGTGTAGAGGTCCGGCGGGCAGCCAAGGCGAGGCGGCCCCCCGCCGGTGAAGCAGAATGATTAGGTTGTTAACCTTGCTCTGATACCATGTTAAAAAATATATGTATTATTATTGATTGATGTATTACAAGATTGATGAATTACAATTCCTATACAATCTATATATAGAAGAAAATGTGGTAGTAGGTGTAGTGGAGGTGATAGTGGGTTAGGTGAAGTGGAGTGTGTGGTGAAGTGGAGGTAGGTGAAGTGGAGTATGTAGTGGAGTAGGTGAAGGTAAAGATGGGAAATTCTAACAAGATGTGAAGTTGAATTGTGTAGTGTCTTGTTTAGGTCTCTGTTCTTCTTTGTTAGTGAAAATTGCAGAAATTGACGAAGGTCTGTTTTGGGGGGGTGTGTGGTTTGTGGGTTAAAGGGATTGAAGATGTGTATATTTTGCTGTGATGATGATGATCAAGGATTGAACATGTCTGACTCTGGACCCATGAAGCCACCAGATTCATTAATGTCATTTTTTTTTGGAGAGAGATAGAGTGAGAATCTATAGTGTGTTATAGATAAAATGTGTGCATAATGTATATGAAGTAGAAGGAGAATGATTGAATTCATCGATATTCTTCTTCAAACAACTCTCTGGGTGTTGGGCGTTGGGTGCTGTCAGGTGTTGGGCGTTGGGAGTTGAAGCAACACAGGTGTAAAGCTTTAGTTTTAAAAAATAGCAAGTGGGTGGGAAAGATTTTGTTTAAAAATAGCAGGTGGCGTTGGGAGTGAAGCAGCATTGGATTTGGTGTGGGGTTTTGGATTTGATTTTGGGTTTTTACGGGCTAATTTTGTGGGGATTCTTGTATTCTATTTTCTAGTTAAGTCTTTCTTAATTTTTTTTTGTTTTTTTGTTTAAAAAAAAAAAATCGTGAGACCAAGGGGTTGATTGTATGGATGCGAGTAGCAGTAGTAGGGGTATTGTGTACTTTCCGAATCTCTCTCGATGCATGTCATCTTCCTGTACCTTTAATTTCATGTTGTTAATGAAATTTTTCTTTGCTGATAAAAAAAAAAAAAAACTACATTGCTTAAATTTCAAGAGATAAATGAGATGACCAAGGGATTTGAAGGCATGAATCTACTAGATTCAGTGATGTGTATATCTATATAATAAGGAAGAAGGGTTTTTGAAAATGTCTAATTTATCTTAGAGATACATTTTGATCTAATGATCTATATCAATCATGGATATATATCAATGGCTTAGATCTATGTAGTTCCCGTCCAAATATTTCTCTCCCTCAGCCTTCCACCTACCTACGTCTCCTCTCTATTCCCTCTTTATCTCTCTCCCTCTCTATTCTCACCCACTCTTCTCCCCATTCGCTCTTTATATCTCTCTCCCTCTCTGTTCTTCTTCTTTCTTACTCTCTCTCTCTTCTGTTGCTCTCCAGTCTTCTACCTCTCGAACTCAACTTTATCTCTCTCTTCCTCTCTGTTTTTCTTCTTTCCTACCCTCCATTTTCGCTCGCTCCCGACTCTGCTTTCCGGTCTCGCAAGGTAAGATTTCTACCTCTCTTTTCACTCACTCCCGATGCTGCTTTCTGCCTCTCGAACTCAGCTTTATCTTGCTCTCCCTCTCTGTTCTTCTTCTTTCCTACCCTCTCTCTTCGCTTGCTCCCGACTTTGCTTTCCAGTCTCGCATGGTAAGATTTCTACCTCCCCCCTTCTCTCTTTGTTTGTGTTTGCCTCTCCAGTTCTCAAACTTGTATTTTTCTCGCTTCATAATTCTCTTTGTTGGGCTGTGAACATGTTATTTTATGGTTTTATTTTAGGGCTATTTTCTGTTATTTTAGGGTTTTGTTTGAGGACTATTTTTCATTGTTTATTCTGAGTTTATAATCCTAACATTCAGGCTGTGAACAGGTTTTTTTTTTTTTATTGTAAGATTGATTGTTGTTTTGATTTTGAAATCAGAAATTACGAAGAGGAGTTTTTCGGATGATTTATTATTTAGACTCTACTCTCCAGTTTCGCAAGATAAGATTTTTGCCTCCCTCTTCTCTTTCTGTCTGTGTCTACCTCTCCAGTCCTCGAACTCGCATTTTTCCCGTTTCATAATTCTCTCTGTTAGGTGAACAGGTTATTTTAGGGTTTTGTTTTATGGCTATTTTTCGTTATTTTAGGATTTTGTTTTAGAGCTATTTTCCATTGTTTATTCTAGGTTTGTAATCCTAACATTCGGGCTGTGAACAAGTTATTTTGATTGTAAGATTGATAGTTGTTTTAATTGTTGTTTTGATTTTGAAATCAAAAATTATGAAGAGGTGTTTTTTGGATGATTTATTGTTTAGTAATGTTTGGTAAATTATTGTGTTTTGATTGCATTGATTATATACGATTACACCATTTTTGGAAATCCATTGATATAAATGGGATTAATCTTGGTTTATACTTATAAGGTGTTTGATGAATTATCTCTTCACATAACTACGTAACAACCTTTAACTAGTATTTTTTTTGTGAACCATATAGTTATAGGTAAATGAGATTTGTTGTTTACATATAATTTTATATGTTAGCGCTTACCCAATTTGATGTGTTGGTTTGATGCTGAATAATATTGGGAAGCAATCATGTGTTTATTGTTTAAATGTGTTTTCAAATATATATATATATATTTTTTTTGTTTAAATGTGTATTGTTTAATTGTTTAAATGTGTTGGTTTGATGCTAAATAATTTGATATTTTTTTATGCAATGATCGAAGACATAATTTTGGATGTGAAGAATGCATTATGGGTTAGGATTCATTTATTTATGATTAGAAATGAAGATATATATACACCGGTGGCGCTACGTAGCTCGAAATGTGATTGCTCGAGAGGCCCGAATTTAGTTTTGTACTCAACTTGCTGCTACTGTGCAATACACCTAAACATTTCATTTGAAAAACAAAAAAGAAAAAAGAAAAAGAAAGAATAGAACAAAGAGAGAGAAGAGCACCGTGTCTTCGTAAAATCTCGTGGAACGGTCTCTGTGTGCCACCGCTGCTACTGTTTGATTGGAGTGGGAGAGGAGGAGCTCTGTGTACCGTCTCTGTGTGCTGTCTCATTTGTCCATGACCATGATAGTCAATACTCTTACTTGAGCCTCTGTTCGTAGTCATTATGTACTATTATTATAAAAAAAAAAAAAACCACCAGTTTGTTTGTTAATTGCTCAATCTTTCACAAATTTAAAGCTATAAATGTGTCTCGTAGCTATTACCAAACACATTTCTGCTATGGTGAACTAATTCGAAATGGTGAACTGATTCCAATTTTTGTTTTTAACTGAAAATAACTTTGTTAGGAAACATCAAACAATTAAGTATTTAAATTTTCAAAACAAAAGGGTTCAAGAATTGTGCCTAGTACCTATTAAAGGGGTTCAAGAATTGTTCTTTTTTTTCTTCACAAGTTACATAAATGGACTATTTTGTTATGCACAGATCAGTGAACTGATTCTAATTTTTTTTTTTTTAAATGAAAACAACTTTGTTAGGAAACATCAAACAGTTAAGTGCTCAAATTTTCAAAACAAAGGGGTTCAAATTTTCGCAGGTCGTCGTTCATCCTCCGTCGTTGTTCGTCTTGCTTCATTATCATTCGTCGTTCGTCGTTGTTCGTTTCGTCCTCCTACTGCGACTAGAGAGTGGTGGGAAGGTTTACCAGAGATGAAAGGGATGAGAGAGATCTGTGGAATGAGAGGAATGAGTAGCGAGAGAGGTGAGAGTGTTTCAATCCTTTTTTTCATTTGAGAATATAGTAGAAGAGAGGAGGAGAGGAAAGCCAAAGAGAAGAAAGGAGAGAGAAAACGTACTTTCAAGCTACGAAACATTTTCCATATATACACCAATGACATGTGACTTTATGGCCAGGCTTATCTTTATATTGGCTCCCAAGTTGTAACCTTTGTAGCTGTTTATTTGTCATTCAGATGTTTCAGGGGTAAATTTGTGTTTGATGGTTTTGACATGGGTTTCAAAACCCATTTCATTGCAATATTGGTTTGTGCAATTTTTTTATTTTTGTTGATTAGGTACGTGTTTGGGTATGATTTGGATTGATGTTTGTGTTTCAAATAAACTGGTGAGCAGCTTTGTGTTTGTGTTACGAAGGTAAGAATGAAAGGAGATGTGAAGTTGCTGAAAAATTAGTAAAGCAACTTTATTAAAATATTTAGGTGGGTTGAAAGAGCAGTTTTTTGTTTTGTTTTGTTTCGTTTTGTTTTGTTTTTTTTTTTTTTTTGACTCATTCTGTAGTTAGGTGTACAAACTGATCCTTGGGTTTGAAATAATAATTGATCCTCATGAAATAGTTTCCAAATGATTTTTAAGATATTTTTAAGTGATTTTTCAAATGGCTTTCAATGTTTCATCATTTCATCGAAATGTTTCATTGTGTTGGATTTGTGTTATTTATTTATTTATGTATTTTTGTTGATTAGGTTGTGTTTCTATGATTTCAGTTTCGGTTTGTGTTTGTGTTTCTAATATTTATTTTTCTAAACCTTTAATGTTTCTAAGATTTCTGTTTGAGTTTGTGTGATCAAGGGAACCACATAAAAGAAGTTGGAAACAAAGCAAAAAAGGCACAAAGCATTGGAATAGAGCATTGAAAATCATTATGTTTCTTTTTAATCAAAGCAAAAGAGGCACATCAATTTGGGTTGGTGTTTCTAAGATTTGGATTTGTATTTGTTTTTCTAAACCTTATACTAATGTGTTTGTGTTGGATTTGTGTTTTTAAACCTTAAACTGATATGTATTTTGGTTTCTCTTTCTTTGGATTTGTGTTTTTAAACCTTAAACTGATATGTATTTTGGTTTCTCTTTCTTTTTTTGTGTTTTGTTTCTTTTTCATCTTTCATTTATGCAGCTTTCAATTTATATGGGTTGGTGTTAAGCTCCGTTATGCATTTGGGTTGGTGTTTTTGAACCTTAAACTGATTCTTTTTTTTTGTGTGTGTGTGTTGTCAGGCATGGGTCTTGACATTGGTTTGTGGGGGCTGTTGAAAAGAAGAGCTTGGTTGCTTTTAGGAGTGGACTATATAACACTT